TGGGTGATTGAAAACAAAAAGTTGTGTTTCTTTAGAAAACAGCCACAGCCTGAGTAGAAAGGCCTATTGCCTGCCAGTGTGCTGCAACAAAAGTACCCTTTTCCTCTGTGTGGAAGCAGTGGTCTCTCTCCAAAGGTCTGGCATGCCCAGGGGTGTATTTAACACAAGGCAAACAAGGCATTTGCCTAGGGTGGCATTTTTCAGGGGGAGCAGCACTGCCCCCCCCCCGGGAAGAAGGGAAGGAAGAATGTGAGTAAGGCCCCTTTCACACGGGCGTTCCGTATGTCCATTTTTCATTTGTCCGTTTACAGATGAAAAACAGACCCCTATGTATTTCTATGCACTTGCGGATGTAAACGGATGAACATCTTTACATCCGTTAATGTCCGCATCCATTAACATCCGATTTTTTTTTAACGGAAGAAAACCCTATTTTTCTTTTGCAAAAAACCCCAGAATGGAGGATGTCTACGGATGTAAACGGACCGGTGAAAAACCGATGAAAAAACGGATCTAAACAGGTCTAAACAAATCTAGACAGATGAATAACGGATGTAAACCAATGTAAACAGATGAAAAATGGATGTAATGGAGGAAAAAATGGCTGAAAAAGGGATGTAAACGGATGAAAACATTGATGAAAAAACGGATGTAAACGGATGAAAAACGGATTGAAAAACGGATGTAAACGGATGAAAAATGGCTGAAAAAACATGAAAAACGGATGTAAACTCATTTTTTTTTTAAAAAAAAAAAAAAACGTGACTGAACTATAGAAAAAATACAGAACGTCTGTGTGAAAGGGGCCTTAGGGACTTTAGATTGTACACCCCTTGAGGGTTAGGGTTCTTACACACAGGTGGTTCGTTTTTTTTTCTTCAGTTCAGTCACGTTTTTAAAAAAAAAAACGGATAAGTTTACATCCGTTTTTTTCATTAGTTTACATCCATTTTCCATCTGTTTTTCATCCGTTTTTCATCCGTTTACATTGGTTTGCATCCGTTTTTCATCTGTTTAGATCCGCTTAAATCTGTTTTTCATCCGTTTACATTGGTTTACATCCGTTTTTCATCCGTATAGATCCGTTTAAATCCGTTTTTCATCCGTTTTCATCCGTTTGTGGTCCGTTTACATCCGTTGACATCCGTTTTTCATCCGTTCTGGGGTTTTTTATTGAAGAAAAATAGGGTTTTCTTCTGTTCAAAAAAACAAATGTTAACCACTTCCAGTGCGGACACTTTTACCCCCTTCCTGACCAGGGAAATTTTCAGCTTTCAGCACTATCACACTTTAAATGACAATTGCGCGGTCATGCAACACTGTACCCAAATGAATTTTTTACCATTTTTTTGACACAGATAAAGCTTTATTTTGGTGGTATTTATTCACCGTTGGGATTTTTATTTTTTTTTGCTATGTAAATGAAAAAGTCCAAAAATTTTGAAAAAAAGTGTTTTTTTTTATAAAATTTTGCAAATAAATAATATTTCATCATAAATCTTTGCCAAAATTTATTCCGATATCTTTTTAGTAAAAAAAAAATCCAAATTAGTTTATAACCAAAAATTATAATTTTTAAACATTTTTTTTTTTATTTTTTTTATATTTTTTTTATATTATTCTTTTTTTTTTTTTACATACTGTCACCCTAGCAGTACAGGGTCACCATGGTGACACTGTACTACTTGTGGGGGGTGATGAAGATATATTTTTTTTTTTACACTGATTGCTTTTACACCCATATAGGATGTAAAAGCAATCATTTCTCTTTCTCTCTTTCTGCATTCTTGCACTCATTGAGGAGTACTGAGTGAGCTGTGATTGGTCACAGCTTGTCACATGGTACAAGGCTGTTGTGAATAGCCTTGTACCATGTGACCTCTGTGATCATTCACAGATTTCACACGTAGTAAGCAATGATGTCACAAGTGACATCTTGCTTACTACTTTGCCAATCAGTGATCACATGATCGGGACCTCGCACAGAGGTCCCGTCCGACGATCGGTGTTTCACTGTGTCCAGAGGACACAGCGGGCACCCGATCGCGGTGCTGCGCGCTCCCAGGGAGCGCGCACAAGCAGGGTACGGGGAGGCCGTTTATAAACGGCCACCTGACCCTGCACTGCCACTGTCCGGCTGTTTATATGCAACGGCCGGTCGGGAAGTGGTTAACGGATGCGGATATTAACGGATGTAAAAAGATGTTCATCTGTTTACATCCGCAAGTCCATTCTATAAACGAACAGATGAAAAATGGACATACAGAACGCCTGTGTGAAAGGGGCCTTAAGGACTGATGTGATGTACAATATATATGTAAAGCGCTGTGTAAATTGATGGCTATATAAGTACCTGAAATAAATAAGTAGGGAAGCCTGTCACCAGGAAATTCAAATCCTGCAAAACAAGATTACTCATTCTTACATATCAACACATCCACTGTGACAGCGATATTAAACCCCAAACCAAAAATGTATTATATTGCAGCTTACAAATTCTTAGATGTGGTGGCTGCATTAGTTTTATTTTTTTGGGCTTTTTTCACTTGGTGATCCGTCCACTAACACACCTCCTGTATTAGAGTGCCCCCACTCTGAATGAAGGAGCACAGGAGACACCTTTGGACAGAAGCATTGTTATTATGGGGGGAGAGGAGTGTTAAATGTATTGGTAGATTTATACACAATAACAAACAGAAGCCAAACTCCAGCTCACACTTTATAAGCAGGTACAGCAAACAGTTTTTTTTTTTCCTTTTGGAATAAAGGTTTTACAAAAATAAAAGCTGATCATTGTAAGCAGTAGTAAATGGTTTGTCTCAACCTATCTGCTACATCTGGAGGACAGCTTGTTCTGTAGAAAAACGACAGACTTACTGGCCAAATCACCAGGGGAAAAAAGCCTAAAAAAGAGAACTAACGCAGCCATCACATCTAAGAGTTTGTAAGCTGCAATGTAATAAACGTTTGCTTTTGGGTTTAATGCTGCTTGTCCATGCTCCATGCTTACTTCTGATTGGATAGTTCTGGCTCTAAATCAGTGGGGGGGGGGGGGGTCAGACCTGTACTACTACTTCCACAAAGAGAACAGAGTCCTTCTCTGCGGCTGCTGGCAAGGGGCTGGCTTTTCTACTCATCATTTCATATCTTACATATCATAACAACAATTTATACAGTGGGGCAAAAAAGTATTTAGTCAGCCACCAATTGTGCAAGTTCTCCCACTTAAAAAGATGAGAGAGGCCTGTAATTGGCATCATAGGTAGACCTCAACTACGAGAGACAAAATGAGAAAAAAAAAATCCAGACAATCACATTGGCTGATTTGGAAAGAATTTATTTGCAAATTATGGTGGAAAATAAGTATTTGGTCACCTACAAACAAGAAAGATTTCTGGCTCTCACAGACCTGTACCTTCTTCTTTAAGAGGCTCCTCTGTCCTGCACTCATTCCCTGTATCAATGGCACCAGTTTGAACTTGTTATCAGTATAAAAGACACCTGTCCACAACCTCAAACAGTCACACTCCAAACTCCACTATGGTGAAGACCAAAGAGTTGTCGAAGGACACCAGAAACAAAATTGTAGACCTGCACCAGGCTGGGAAGACTGAATCTGCAATAGGCAAGCAGCTTGGTGTGAACAAATCAACTGTGGGAGCAATAATTAGAAAATGGAAGACATACAAGACCACTGATAATCTCCCTCGATCTGCTCCAAGCAAGATCTCACCCCGTGGGGTCAAAATGATCACAAGAACGGTGAGCAAAAATCCCAGGACCACACAGGGGGATCTAGTGAATGACCTGCAGAGAGCCAGGACCAACGTAACAAAGGCTACCATCAGTAACACACTACGCCGCCAGGGACTCAGATCCTGCAGTGCCAGACGTGTCCCCCCTGCTTAAGCCAGTACATGTCCGGGCCCGTCTGAAGTTTGCTAGAGAGCATTTGGATGATCCAGAAGAGGATTGGGAGAATGTCATATAGTCAGATGAAACCAAAATAGAACTGTTTGGTAGAAACACAACTCGTCGTGTTTGGAGGAGAGAGAATGCTGAGTTGCATCCAAAGAACACCATACCTACTGTGAAGCATGGGGGTGACAACATCATGCTTTGGGGCTGTTTCTCCGCAAAGGGACCAGGACGACTGATCCATGTACAGGACAGAATGAATGGGGCCATGTATCGTTAGATTTTGAGTGCAAACCTCCTTCCATCAGCAAGGGCATTGAAGATGAAACGTGGCTGGGTCTTCCTACATGGCAATGATCCCAAACATACTGCCCAGGCAACGAAGGAGTGGCTTCATAAGAAGCATTTCAAGGTCCTGGAGTGGCCTAGCCAGTCTCCAGATCTCAACCCCATAGAAATCCTTTGGAGGGAGTTGAAAGTCCGTGTTGCCCAGCGACAGCCCCAAAACATCACTGCTCTAGAGGAGATCTGCATGGAGGAATGGGCCAACATACCAGCAACAGTGTGTGCCAACCTTGTGAAGACTTACAGGAAACGTTTGACCTCTGTCATTGCCAACAAAGGATATATAACAAAGTATTGAGATGAACTTTTCATATTGACCAAATACTTATTTTCCACCATAATTTGCAAATAAATTCTTTCCAAATCAGCCAATGTGATTGTCTGGATTTGTTTTCTCATTTTGTCTCTCATAGTTGAGGTCTACCTATGATGCCAATTACAGGCCTCTCTCATCTTTGTAAGTGGGAGAACTTGCACAATTGGTGGCTGACTGAATACTTTTTTGCCCCTGTATAATACCATAATTTACTATCATGCCACATCATACCATCATCTGCTGTCATAGTATCATTTAATATCCTAACCTATCATACCATCATTTAATATCATACCATGACATACTATCATTTCCATTGCTACCATATAATATCCTAAAATTTCATTTACTATCATCAATCATACCATCATTTGCTTTCATTTCTTATCATGCCATCATTTCATATGCTACCATATCATACCATCTTTTAATATAATACCATTATTTGTTATGATAACATATCATACCATAAATTGCTATCATACCATCATTTCAAATGATACCATAACAGGGGTGGACTGACAACTCATGGGGCCCCCCGGCAATAGGGGATCATGGGGCCCCTGTGTCCTTGCCCAAACTCAAAAAAGCCTATGAAAAAGGTAACAGGGGCATCTCCTGGGGCCCCCTTCTGACCCCGGGCCCTCGGGCAGTGCCCGAGTTTCCAAATGGTCAGTCCGCCCCTGCTCCGGTTGTAAGACTCTTCACATCTCTTGTTTTTAATACCACTGGAACGTAGTTATCGAAATTAAACTGAAAGTTCAATAGGAGAGCATTTTGAAAGCAATCTGTAACCCTTGGCTTATGTCCGTTCTTCTTCTCTTTCTAGAATTCAGTTCCTCCTGCAAAGCTTCCACTTCCCTTTCTCACTTTGTCGTTTTCTTTCCCTCGTTTCTCCTTCCACCTTTTCCTACCTACAGGTAGATAACTCCTCCTTGACGGGTGAATCTGAGCCCCAGACAAGGTCACCTGACTGCACACATGAAAACCCTCTGGAGACAAGAAACGTCACCTTCTTCTCCACCAACTGTGTAGAAGGTAACCTTGCAGAGTGCCCTGAACGATGATACAGGATATTTAAACACATGAAAAAAATATTTAATATATTGCAATGCACCATTCTTTAGATGTGGTGGATGCATTAGTTTTGCTTTTTTTTTTTCAGCAAGTACAGAAAATACTGTTGATCTTACCAGAAATGTGGGGTTGCTTACTAAAACTGAAGAGTGCAAAATCTGGTGCAACTTTGCATGGAAACCAATCAGCTTCCAGGTATTGGCCCCTTTCACACTAACAGTCCGATTGGGTCCGTCTGTCAGTTTTTCAGGCGGACCCGATCCGACCATCTACAGTGCTCTTTGCATCGGCGAGTATGAATGGACATGTGTATGCTGACACCCAGGGGCGGACTGACCATTCGAGCACTCGGGCACTGCCCGAGGGCCCGGGGTCAGTAGAGGGCCCCATGACATGCCCCTGGTACCTTTTTTATAGGCTTTTTTGAGTGTGGGCAAGGATACAGGGGCCCCATGATCCCCTATTGCCCGGGGGCCCCATGAGTTGTCAGTCCACCCCTGCTGACACCCACCGGCATCCGACCCTGTTCGCTTAAAACAGATGAATGGGGCAAATCAGATGACAGACAGATGGAAACGGACAGGCAGTCTGTTTCCATCTGACCGCCCAATAGAAAACAGTGACCTGTCATCCGCCTGTTCAGTGGGGATTAGCAGAGAGATCCCCCCGCTGAGCAGGCGGATCCACTTGATGGAGTCCGCCCGTCTGAAAGGGGCCTAATTGTCAAAGCTTAAGGCTCGGTTCACATATATGCGGGTGGTGCCACTGCAGATCCGCACGAAAATCCGTGCAGCCGCACCACCCGCACAGAGGAATGAGGACCCGCTGGTGAGTGCCATTAGTTCCGCCCACACTGGAAAACATTACCGTACTGGGAACCGAGGTTCCTGTGCGGGCTGCGTTTTCAGAAGAAGTGCAGGGACTTCTTCCCTGCGTGTCATGGGGCACGGGAGTCCATTCAAATAATGGGCTCGCGTGCCCACGCAAAACGCAGCCCGGACGGCCGCATATATGTGAACCAGGCCTTATAGAACAAACTGAAGTTAGAAGCTGATTGGCTACCATGCACAGCTGCACCAGATTCTGAGTACATCCGTTTTGGTAAATCTCCCCCTTAGTCACCTTGTCATTTCCTTTCAGTTGAAAAAGAAAGCATAAAGAATGTTATGTACATTCCGAGTTGTAAACTACTAATTACCTCACCCCCCATGTAATGGAGATGAATAGAAGAATACCTATTTGTGGTCAAATCACGCGAGCATCCTAGGTGACAACCTTTCCTCCATCCAAAGTTATGGAAAAATGAATGTGCCAACTCTAAGATCACACGAGCAATGGAAATGAATAGAAGAATGAAAAATTTCCTCCATCCACTCTAAAGGTGGAAAAAGTGAAAAATAGCAGAATGTAGCACTCTAGGAGAGGAAGTGAATTATTCACAGGTTTACCAAGTGAAAATGACGGAAAAAAGCTGGAAATGGAAAATGAATGCAGCCACCAAATCTAAGGACTGGCAAACTGTAATACAGGCATACCTCAGTTTACGGATTTAATGTGTTCTCAGGGACTTTTCGTATTGCGAAAAATTCGTAAACCCGAACGCGGTTTCCCATAGGAATGCACTGAAAACCAATTAATCTGTTCCGGAGGTCAGAAAAAAGTTTAAAAAAATCTTTTATCTGTTCAAAAACTCTTTATAAAGTGCACTGTAAAGGCATAAATACTGTACAGGGACATGATTAAAAATTAATTTGTAAATGCATTGAAAACTAACTAATCCGGTCGTATTGCAAAAAAAATGTGTAAATGCATTGAAAACCAATTAATCCGTTCCGGAGGTTAGAAAAAAGTAAAAAAAAGTCTTATCTGTTCAAAACTCTTTATAAAGTGCACTTTAAAGGCATAAATACTGTACAGGGACATGATTAAAAAAAAAAATCGTAAATGTATTGAAAACCATTTAATCTGTTCGTATTGCGAAAAACAATTTGTAAACCAAGCCATTATTTTCAATGGATTTTCATTTGTAATCCAAAAATTATGTTAACCGAGGCGTTCGTAAACCGAGGTACATCTGTAGATAAAATGTTTGATTTGGCGTTTAAATAATGTTTTAAAGATTGTGGTTTTACTTGGTCATAGGAAGAGTTCAAGATGGCCTAAATGCATTTGCACAAGTTTCCCCCTGACACTGTTGTGGAATACAATGTACTAAATGTAAAAATAAAAGTGTGCAGCAATGCTAGGACCAATGCATAGAGATTCTAAACCAATTTAAAGTGATACTAAAGGCTTTCTATTTTACCTTCTTGCCGACCAGCCACTGTAGAAATACGGTGGCAGGTCGGCACGGCTGGGCAAAACCACGTTTTAAAAACATGCGTTTGCAAAACAGGTAGGGGGCGCGCGCGACGAGCGTGCCCGCCCTACCCATCCTGCCGATCGCGGCCCGTGGGGTGCCAGCCGCCGGGTCACGGCCGGTCATGACCTACCGTGTCCCGGCGATTACCGGCAATCACTGACAGAGAGGACAGCTGCAGTCTTTACACTGCAGCCGTGCTTTCTGTCAGTTCCCTGTCAGCACCTGACATGCTGATCCGGAGAGAAGAGTTTATCTCTCCCGATCAGCTTGTCCCCCGTGCAGTACACACCCCTGCCCCCTATTAAAACACTCCCCTCACACAGTTAACCCTTTCAGTAAATAAAAAAGTTAACCCCTTCCTCCCCAGTGCCATTAGTACAGTGTCAGTGTTTTTTTTTTTTTGCACTGATCACTGTATTGGTGTCACTGGGGATGTCAGTGACCCCAAGTCAGTTCCCCCCCAGTGTCAGAATGTCCGCTGCAGTCCTGCAGTATTGCCATAAGTCGCTGATCGCCGCCATAAGTCACTGATCGCCGCCATAAGTCGCTGATCGCCGCCATTGTTAGTATATAAAAAAATGTAAAATCCCAGTATCTTTCCCGCCATTTGTAAACGCTATAACTTTCACATAAACCAATTAATTTACACGTATTGGGTTTTTTTTTTTTAGCAAATGCCGCAGAATACATTTTTGCAGAAATTTTAAATGAAATTTAAAATGACTAAATTTAATTTTTACATTTTTTTTTACTGGACATGTTTTATAGCAAAAAGTCCAAAATATTGTTTTTTTCCTCAAAATTGTCAGCATTTATTTTTTTATAGCGCAAAAAATAAAAAACGCACAGGCGATCAAATACCACCGAAAGAAAGCTCAATTTGTGGGAAAAAAAGGATGTACATTTCATTTATGTACCGTTTTGCATGACCGCGCAATTGTCCGTTAAACTAGCGCAGCGCTGTATAGCAAAAAAATGGCGTAAATTGCAGTATCTATACCATAGTTTGTAGACGCTATAACTTTCACACAAAGCAATCAATATACACTTATTGGGATTTTTTTTACCAAAAACATGAAGCAGAATACATTTTGGCCTAAATTTATAACTAACTTTGAGTTTACTATATATTTTTTATAGCTGAAGTGAAAAATATAGTTTTTCTTCAAAATTTTTGGTCTTTTTTTATTTATAGCGTGAAAAATAAAAAGCGCACAGGTGATCAAATACCATCGAAAGAAAGCTCTATTTGTGTGAAAAAAAGGACGTAAATTTCGTTTGGGTGCAGCATTGCATGACCGCGCAATTATCAGTTGAATTAGTGCAGTGCCGAGTAGCAAAAAGAGGCCTGGTCAGTAAGGGGGGGTAAATCCTCAGGAGGGCAAGTGGTTAAATAACAAACTTACCTGCTCTGTGAAATAGTTTGCCACAGAGCAGCACAGATCCTCCTCTTCTTGTGTCCCCCGCCAGCGTTCTGGATTCCTCCACGCTGCCTTGCGGAATGCCCCCATAGCAAGCCTCTTGCTATGGGGGCACTCATGCATGCTCGCTCCTGAGCCCTGTCCTGTGTCTCCATAAGACACACAGAATGGGGTTCAACCCCACCCCATCCCTCCTATCTGGACATAATTGACAGCAGTGGGAGCCAATGGACACACAGAACAGGGCTGAACCCCACCCCTCTCCCTCCTATCTGGCCATGATTGACAGCAGTGGGAGCCAATGTACGCACAGAACAGGTCTGAACCCCACCCCCCACTCCCTCCCAACTGGATGTGATTGACAGCAGTGAGGACCAATCAGCTGTCTCTAAGCCAGTGAGGATGCAGAGAGCCGGGACAGTAGCCTTTCTCCTTGTCATCACTAGATCAGGCTTGGGTAAGTATAAGGGGGGCTACTGGGGAAATTGCATACTGAAGATAAAAAACCTTCAGGCTTTACAACTACTTTAAGGTTCCAACCTTTGAGTGTTCACCTGCCATCCTGATATACTAAATCTGGTGCTCTCCTACAGAAATCCTATGGACAAATCTTCCTAATTTTAAGAATATAATCCTACCTATCTTTAACTAGTGCATCAGCTTCCCCAACCTTTCCCATAAGCTGGTTCTGTTGAGTAATAATAATTAAAATTGTGAACTGCTCTACAGTAGAGGTTCTCCAAACCCTACAAATAGAGGAGCCAACTGCCAGCACCCACCTATGAAAGCTTAAGCAAACTAAAGGGGTTCTTGACTCCAATGAAATTC